AAGAAGGAGGAACCTCCAGCTGATCTCCTGGATCCCTACAGGGAACCTTCTCCTCTATCCCACTTGTCCCTGCAAAGGCCAAGGGTGTGGAACAGCTTTCAGGGATGTGAGGCTGAGTTTTGCAAGACTTCGCTTTAGAAACTTCTGTCCCAAGGTGAAGGAATTATAAAGCATGGAAAGGTTTGGGTTCAAGGGACATTAAAGGTCATTTCATCCCACCCCTGCCATAGCAGGGACACCTCCCACTGTCCCAGATTGCTCCCAGCCCTGCCCAGCCTGGCCTTGGGCACTGCCAGGGATGCAGGGGCAGCCCCAGCTGCTCTGGGCACCCTGTGCTAGGGCCTGCCCACCCTCACAGGGAACAATTCCTAATTCCCAATATCCCATCCAGCCCTGCCCTCTGGCAGTGGGAGCCATTCCCTGGGTCCTGTCTCTCCAGGCCCTTACAAAAGATCTGTGCCCATCTTCCTTCCAGGCCCCCTTTAGACACATCCAGGTGTCCCCTTGTGCCTCACTCAGGAAACCCCAGGTCTGACATGGCCCTGTGAGGGACCTCCTGTTGTTGTTGATCCATGAAAAAACAAAGTGGGAATTCCCCATCAACCTTCAGCATCACTAGAACACAAGGAGGATCCTGTCCTGGGAATGTGGCCATGCCAGGCCCCTGCTTTTCCCATGTTAGAAATGCCATTTCTCAAAGAAAATCAGCAGGATTTTAATGCCAAGGCATTAAAAACCCCCAAACCAGTGGCTGTGCCAGCCCTTGTTTCAGTCTGGGGCTCCTCCATCCCTGAGGAGGGAGCAGCAGGGCTTGCACTGGGCCTGGAGCAGCCCCCAGGCTGGAGAAGCCACCCACCTTTTTTCTGAATTTATTTGGTAACTTTATGTTTTAAAACCACAGAAGGAATGGAAATGCCATGGAGCTGAACAGCTGTTTGGGGAGATGAAGGGAACAGGATTTGTGAAAATAATTTGTTACCACATGGTTTATCTCTCAATTTTTATTACAAACAGGCACTAAAATGCCTGTTCTTCAAGCTTCCTGCACTGCTCCAGCCTTGATTCCAGCCCCTTCAATCCCACATTCAAATATTCATCTCATTTAATTGCTTTATTCCTGTTTTGCAGCGTTTTGCCCTCAGGGTGAATCTGAGCCTCATGCAGCTGCCTGTGCTTCCCCTCACATCCCTCCCCTCTGCTCCATCTCCTTTATTGTTCCTGCCACAAACTGAGCTGCAACTCCTTGGGAATGCCATGGAGAAATGAGCATTTTACTGCCCTGCCACCTCATGCAAAGCAACGTGATGAAAAGAGTTAAACTGTGTTTTATAAGTCCAACAAAGCAGCTTGGAAAAGTTTTGTCCACAAAGCCCCACGGCTCCCCACGGCTCCCAAGTTCCTTGGCAAGGAATTTGCTTATTTAGCAAGCTGTAAAAACCCAGCAGGTAAAAATTCCTGAGTCCAAATTCCTGAGGAAAGTACAAAAGTGGATAATTAATGATCTAAACCCAGCAGAGCCTGGGGACAGGGATGGGCCTGGGTCCTGCCTGGGTGCTGAGCTGGGCACACTGCTCAGGGTGAGGCACCTTTGTGGCTCTGTGGCCACTGCTGGTCCTGGCCAGGTGTTCCTGCCTCCATTCCTGCTCTGGGAATATTCATCTGGGATTATTCTGGGCTTCTGGCACTGCTCATTCCCCTGGGAATGGTTTCCCAGGGCCCTCTCAGGGGTGGCTGCTCCCAGCCCAAGGGGACTGGGCAGGTCCCCAAAGGACTCGTGGAGGGCAGCACAGCAAACCCAGCCCCAGCCAGGCTTTGTGGGGCTGATGGCTTGGGAATATTTAAAATGGAGCCCTGGGAGTTCCTGCCAGTGTCCCAGGCAGCCCTGCCAGCAGCTCCAAGGCAGAGGAGCAGCTGGAATCAGGGCAGTTCTCTCCCTCTGCTCTCTTGCAGGTGGGGAGAAAGGACTCGTTCAGGCTGTGGCTTCTTTAGACCCACACCAAGTTCAGTCTGTCCCAGCCTTCTTCCCAGACTTCAAATCCACCCAGACAGCCCAGCAGGATGTCCTGAGCTGCCCTTCTGGGCCTCTCCCTGCTCTCAGCATCCCATGGTTCTGGAGGACGCCGTGTCTTGGTGTGAAGAGCCGGGTGTCTGCTGAGGAAGAGCAGGAGGAGCCTCCCTTGAAGTGGAAAATGTAATCCCCCCCACTCTGAATTATTGTAATTTTGAAATTAAGGGGCTCTCAGGCAAAGATATGAGAGCATGAATAACAGCTCTTTACTAGGGAATAAAATAAAATAAAATAAAATAAAATAAAATAAAATAAAATAAAACAAAACAAAATAAAATAAAATAAAATAAAATAAAATAAAATAAAATAAAATAAAATAAAATAAAATAAAATAAAATAAAATAAAAACAATACAGACAGAGTTAGAATACAACCTGTCCCTCTGTGTGCCGGGGGGGTGGCACAGCCCCATCCCATGGGGGCTCAGCCCTCCTGCAGTGCCAGCTGTGGCTCTGCTGGAGCAGGGATCCTGCACAAGGGGGGAGTTTTCCTCTGCAGCTCCAGGGCTGCTGGAGATGGGCCTGGGCTCCCTCTGGCCATGCAGGGCAGCAGAAGCTGCTCCTCTGGCAATGCACTGGGCAAAGGCTGCTGGGCTGTGCCAGGCTCACATTGGATCCAGGTAGGAATGCTTGGCTCCTGCCCTGGGCAATGCAGCATCTCCCCATGGGATGCTGGAATTGGATCAGCCCTGCAGGGACACTCAGTGGCCATGGACAGCAGAGATCTCCTGCAGGGAGGATTGGCTGGGGGAGAGATAAAGAGAAAACTGCCCCATGAACAGCAGAGAACTGCCCCAGCTCTGACAGGTCACAGAACACACAGCCCCAGGCACATCTCACAGCCCAGGACACACCAGCAGAGCTGCAGGAGGTGCTGGAGGGGATGGTGGAACCTGGGTTCCCATGGGCAAGGTCTCATCCTCAGGGGTCTGTCCCTCACCAGGAGCTCCTGTGGAGCCCCACCTGGAGCCACATGGATTTGTGACTGGCCCTTTGCTCCAACACTGTGGTGGGATTTTATTTAGTGAGGCAGGAGGGTCCCATGTCCTCTTTTTCCAGGAAGCAGAGGGTGGAGGGGGAAGCCATGAGACACTGGGCACTCTCATCCTCTTCCCTTTTTCTCCAGGTTTTTGCTCCACTCTGCTCAGCTCATTAGCCAAGGCATTAAATTTTAACATTTTTGTTGCTCCTGCAGATGTGCTCCTGGTGAGTGGGTGCCTGGGTGGATGCCAGACCCTGGCACCAGGGGACCAGGGGGCCTGGGGCACCTGATCCCATGGAACTCCCCCAGTGCTGCCTGGGGATGCTGGTGCTGCTTTCCCCAGCACCCAAGCACCAGCAGGGAAAGAGGATCCTTGCAAACACCTGCACAGCCCCAGTGGAGCCAGGCTGGGAGAGCTGGGGGTGCTCACCTGGAGAGGAGAAGGCTCCAGGGACACCTCAGAGCCCCTGCCAGGGCCTGAAGGGGCTCCAGGAGAGCTGGAGAGGGACTGGGGACAAGGCATGGAGGGACAGGACACAGGGAATGGCTCCCACTGCCAGAGGGCAGGGCTGGATGGGATATTGGGAATTAGGAATTGTTCCCTGGGAGGGTGGGCAGGCCCTGGCACAGGGTGCCCAGAGCAGCTGGGGCTGCCCCTGGATCCCTGGCAGTGCCCAAGGCCAGGCTGGGCAGGGCTGGGAGCAGCCTGGGACAGTGGGAGGTGTCCCTGCCATGGCAGGGGTGGGCTGGGATGAACTTTAAGTTTCTTTCTCCCCAAACCATTCTGAGATTCCAAGAGTCTGTGAGACAAAATTGGAATCATCAGAGTCTCCCGGGGGGACAGGACCCAGAGCAGCACAGGCAGGAGCTTTCTGGCCATGAGGAATTAAAAAGGCATCGATTTCTGCCATTAGCGGGGGTGTGGCCGGAGCAGGCAGAGCCACTCACTGAATTATTCAGGAGCGATGACGAAGCCCAAGGCCAGGCTGGGGAACCTCTCCCTGTTCTCCTGATCACCTTCCCAAGGACGTGGCTCTTGCTCCTGGCCCAGGACACTGGGGGGGACCAGGATTTGGTCCCAAGGACCTGAGGGACACCTGTTGGTCCCTGAGCCAGGCCCAAAGGATGGGGAACAGGGACACATCAGGGCCTGTGTGACGCTGGGGGCTCCTGACCCAGCCTGGCCTGGTGTATCTGTGGAGCAGCTGGACACTGCCTGCAGCAATGTCCATTTTGGGACAGGGACACTCATGTAGGGGCAGAGGGACACTGCAGTGGGGCAGGGGCACTCATCAGGGGGAAGAGACACTGCAGTGGGGCAGGGACACTCATCAGTTGGCAGAGACACTGCAGTGGGGCAGGGACACTCATCTAAGGACAAAGGGACACTGCAGTGGGGCAGGGACACTCATCTAGGGACAAAGGGACACTGCAGTGGGGCAGGGACACCCTCATGAGGCACCCCGGGGCTCCCTGCTGTGCCCTGTCCCACCGTGCCCGTGCAGGGGGGACACCCAGGGGTGGCACCTCTGCCACCACCAGCAGGCACGGCCACCCACGAGCACCCGGGTAAGAGATTTCCCCCCGATTGTGCCACGTCCCCTGTGCCAGGGCTGGGCAGAGCCTGGGGCTGTCGGGGGGTCACAACCCGGGCTCCTCGGTGCCCCGGGCTGGGTCTGCCCGGTCTCAGCCCGTGCTGGCCAGCCCGGAGGCAGCAGCGGGCACCGGGAGAGGCGGCATTCGAGGAGTTAATTTCCATGCTCGCCGCGGGAGTCGGGAGCTATTAATACTCGCACGCTGCTTGAGCTGTCAGAGCGAGCGGCGGCTCCGCCGGTGAGACGAGCCCCGCGGAGCCGCCGCTCCACGACGGCACAACTTTCCCCCTCCGTCCGTGCGTCCGGCTGCCGGGCCCCGTGTCCTTCCAGACCCTTCCAGACCGGGCTGGATCCTGTCAGAGCCCGCCGGGCCCCACCTGCTGCAGGGACCCTTCCCGTCCCCGCTGCCCGGTGCCCCGGCGCAGCCCCTGAGCCCCGCCGGGCTCGGCCGGTGCCTCGGCCCGCGCTGCCCGAGCCCCGGTGCCGCTGATGGCACCGCAGGTCCCTGCTGGCACCCCCTGAGGGCCGGGCAGGGCCATGGGGGCCGCGGTGGCGCTGGGCATCACCGGCCCCGGCCGGAGGGCGACGCGGGACGGGGCAGGGCCCGGAGCCGCCTCCGTGCCCGGGGAGCGGCGGGTCCCGGCGCTCAGCCCGGCCGTGTGAGGGCTCCCCGGCACCATGGCCCCGGCAGGGCCGGCCTGAGCCTCCGGCCACCGCCGGCACCGGGAGGAAGATGCCAGCAGCCCTCCGGCACTGCGGTCACCCTCGGCCGGGCGCCGCGGCCACCGGAGCCGAGCGATGGATTCCTTCTGCTTCGTCTGCTTCCAGAAAGAGGAGCTGCAGCCCCTGCACCTGCACAGGTGAGTGCCCGGGACAGCCCCGGCGGGGACACGGCGCTGCTGTGAACGCAGGGAGGGCACGGCACGGAGCGGGCACCGAGCCGGCCCGGCCCGGGGGCAGAGACAAAGTTTCCTCGGGAGCGGGAGCATCCTCTCCCGAAAGAGGAGCCCGGGGCCGGTGCTGTGTGCACGGGATGTGCTTCCCTGGCAGCGGGGAACCGCTGGGCATCCCGTGCCGTGCCGTGCCATGCCGTGCCCATGGGAGCAGTGGGGCTGTGGGCAGCAGCGTGTGCACCCAGAGCCTCCCAGAGCCATCCCAGAACCATCCCCAATCCATCCTGGAGCCGTCCCAGCCATCCCAGAATCATCCCAAATCCATCCTGGAGCCGTCCCAGCCATCCCAGAACCATCCCCAATCCATCCTGGAGCCGTCCCAGCCATCACTGCTCACCTGAGCAGGGGCCCTGGGCAGTCTCCGCTCCTCAAGGAGAGCCACAGGCTCCCCGAGGCCCGTCCCTCTGGGCAGCCGCCCCGGCGCTCGCCTCCCCCTTTCCCGAAATCTCCTCTGCCATGGGCGCTGCTGAGCCACAGCCAAGGAGAATGTGCGGAGCCGGAACGAGCCGGGCGGGCGGGCAGGATGCGAGGTGCGAGTGCTGGCACACGCTGTGCCCAACTGCTCCTTGGTGGCACTGAGCCACTGCCGGCTCCTGTGCCGCGCTGCCAGCCCCGAGCAGAGCCCCTCTCTGCTCCAGCCAGGCACTGCCCGTCCCCAGCGAGCTCTGGGGGGCCTCAGGGCCACCAGCTGGATCCATCCAGGCAGTCTGGCCTCCCTCACGGGTGGCAGGGAGCTGTAGGGTTTGTTTTGGTGTAAACCATGAGGTTTTGGAGCTCAGTTCCCATGAGTCGGTGCCCAGGTGGGGAACAGGGGTACCAGGGGCTGGGAGGGCCTGGCTGTGGGGGCACAGAGCTCCTGGGGCTCCTGTCCCACTGCCCAGCCCGGGCTCGGAGCTGACCAGGGGCACCCAGCCTGTGTCACACCACAGGTGGCATGGGCCTGGCACCCTCAGCCAGCCGAGGTGCCGGTGGTGGCCCAGGGTCCCCGGGGTGGCTGCAGGGACCGCCCCTCCCTGCTCGGGGACGGCGAGGGACGGACACCCATGGCTTGTGCCCAGAGGCTTCTCCCTGTCCTGCCCTGCTGCAAGGTGGGCTGCACTGGGGGGTGGGGGTGTGTCTGGTCCCTGAACACCCCTGGTTGTCACCAGCTTGTCCCTGAGTCTGTCTCCATCCCGTGGGGTCACAGCTGCCATCGCCTGTCCCCTCCAGCACAGCCCCACTGTGTGGGCTCCCCGGGGTGACAGGAGCTGCTGCCAGAGGTGCTCCCTGCCCTGTCACCGCCCCTGACCCTGTCACCACCACCTTCTGTCACCACCACCACTGGCCCTGACCCTGTCCCCCGTGCCGGGGCAGTGCGTGGGCCCCACGCGTGGGCGCTGTGCCAGTGGGTCTGTGCCCCATGTCTGTCCCCACGAGTTTGCCCCGTCATGTTTGTCCCCCCGTGTCTGTCCCCCCGTGTCTGTCCCCCCGTGTCTGTGCTCATGTCTTTTCACCTATGTCACCCCGTGTCTGTTCCCTGTCGCCGTCCCCCCGTGTGTCCATCCCCCCGTGTCTGTGTGTCCGTCCCCCGGTGTCTGTGTGTCCGTCCCCCCGTGCCCGTTCCCGCAGCCTCTAGATGGTGCCAGGAGAACGGGCAGCGAGCGGAGGCGGCGGGCGGGCGGTGCCGGCTGCTGTGGGGGTACGGGGGTGCCAGGGCGGGCCCCGTGGCTCTCCCAGTGCCCCCAGCTCAGCCCCTCCTTCCCCTCGAAGAAACGCGTTGTGCTTCTTTCCCCGAGCAGCCCATCCCAAAGAGTCCCTCCGGTCCCGTTCCGTCCCGGTGGCTGAGCAGAGGCTTCTCCCTTGTCCCGGGCTCAGCGCTATTCCCAAGGTCCCGCCTGCGCCCGGTGCTGCCCGGCCCGGGATCCATCCCCGGTGCGCTGTGCCCGGTTCGGGATCCATCCCCGGTGCGCTGTTCCCGGTCCGGGGCTCCATCCCCGGTGCGCGGTGCCCGCCCCGCTCGGTCCCCGCAGCCCCGGGAGCACGGCACGGGCTCCGGGCAGCTCCCCGAGGGTCGGACCCTGGCAGGGGCTCGGCGTGTGCCCATCGCCGCCAGAGCTGTCCCACAGCCCCTCCCTGCCCTCGAGAGCAGCCCCGGGAACCCCCCCGGCTGTCCCCGGCTGTCCCCGCCCGGGGGACACCGAGCTGGGGGCTCCGAGCCCCCGCCCCGGCTGCGGGAATCAGCCCCACCGCCCCTTTCCTGGGAATTCCCGAGGGTGGGCTCTGTCCCCAGGGACCCAGGGGACACCGAGGGGACCCGGGCTGGGGCGGGGGGGGGGGACAGGCCGGAGCCCCTGGGCTGAGCGGGTCCCCCCGCCCGGGCTGCGGCTCCCGGCGTGCTCCGCTCCCGCCGTCCTCCCTCCTTCCCTCCCTCCTTCCCCCCGCTGCTCCTTCCCAGCATCCCCGCAGCATCCCCGGCAGCTTTGGCTCCTGGCACCGGAGCGCGACAGGCGCGGGTGGCCGTGGCACCGGGGCCGTGTGGGGCTCAGCCCCTCGGCTCCCGCTCTGGCCGAACGATGGAGAAGGGACAAGCGACCTTCTCGCTGAATTCCGAGGGGATTCGGCACGCTGGGAATATTTTGGGCTTTCCAGGTCATTTCCCGCTGCCCACCCTGTCCAAGCGCATCCCACGATGTGCACCAGCCGGAGATTCCCTTTCCGAGCACAAATCCCAGGAGCCCTCGTGGTCCCTCGGGGAGGCGGGGGCTCTTTGCACGGTTTGGGATTGCACGAGGTGATAAACATGTTTGATCTGGCTCCTTTCATCTCGTTAATCTTAATTAGTTATTAATATTCCGGGAGTGCTTTGAAGACCACGAGCTCAGTGCGGGCGCTCGCTGGTACAACTGGTGTTACTATGGCTCGGTGTGCGTGTCACCCACGGGCCACCGAGGGACAGGGACACCCCAGAGGGACCTGACGGCCCCCACGGAGCCCCATGGAACCCCCCGGAGTCACATGGAGCCCTGCTGGGCCCCACAGAGCCCCGCTGAGCCCCATGGAGCCCACAGAGCTCCACAGAGCCCCATGGAGTCCCAAGGAGCTCCCCTGAGCCCTACAAAGTCCCACGAGGACCTGCTGAAGGCCGTGGGGTCCCACAGAGCCCCACAAAGCCCTGGCAAGCCCTGCCAAGCCCCACGGAATGCCACGAGGCCCTGCCAGGCCCAGCTGGTCCCGGTGCCAGCTCAGCCCGTGTGCCCGGGGCACAGCACCAGGGTGGTGACACTGGGAGCTGACCCGCGCGTGGGGCGTGTGACAGAGTCCCTGCAGCCCCCCGTGGTCCCTGGGCCGGCTCCCCGGGCACCGGCAGCTCCCGCCTGACCTAGAAACAGCCCCGAGCTATAAATAGGGAGAGAGCTGACAGAGAGCTCGGAGGAGCCGCGAGCGGGAGGCTGCAGGAGCCAGGACGGCACCGCAAGGACAGGCAGGGGACACCCCATGGGGGTGGCTGCGCCTTTCCCTGTGTGCGCTGCCCAGCCCTGCCCATCTCGCCCGTTTTCCTCTTTCGCGCTCCTCCACTGCTCCTGCCCCGTGCCAGCCCCGCAGCGGCCGCTCCAGCAGCGCCTGCCCCAGCCCAGCCCGGCTGGCCGGGCACCGCTCTCCGGCATTTCTCCTCGCAGCGCCGTCCCGATGCCTCCATCCCGCCGGGAATCAGCCCCCTGGGAGCGTCCCAGCCGCAGGACCCGAGCGGAGCGGGATGGAGAGGCCGAGCCCTGCCCGGGGCTGGCTGTGCCCCGTGCCCCGTGCCAGCTGCCAGAGGGTGACAGTGGCACAGCCGGCACACATTAAAGCGCAGTGTCGGAGTGTGATTCAGCCTCTTGCCTTAAAGTCATTCATGAAAAGCTTTAATTGCTCTGCATGCTCAGCGCGAGCGGAGCGGAGCCATCCGTGAGTCAGAGCCGGTGGCTCCCGGCCCTCCCCGCTCTCCGGGGGCTCGGGGGCACTGGCACGGCTCGGTCCAGCGGGCCGGGCACGGCTGGGGTGTGGGAACAGCCCGTTGTCCCCTCGGAGCGGGGGGCAGCCCTGTGGTTCCCTTCAAAGTGACATCGCGGGAGCCAAGGGAGCTGGCACCCAGCTGAGAGACAAGGAAGTGCCAAAGCAAACCCTGGCCAGTGTTAAACCTCCCTGCTTGGCCTTGGTGGGCACAGAAGGAAACCCGGGAAGACGAGGTGTGTCCAAGGATGCTCCAAGAGGGAGCACAGTGCCAAGCCCTCGTCTTCCTCCCGGAGAGCTGTCACTGTCCCCCGGGCTGGAGGTGCCTGGAGCTCCTGGTGCCCAGCTCTGGCATCGCTTGCTGAAAGTGTTGCCAAATTTAAGGCACCTGAAGGGAAGCCCCCGTGATGTGTTTGCCTCATCTGGCATTCCCTGGCTTGGCCTGAACGTTCTCACCATTCATGAGCCACAGGGGAAGCCACGTGCCCTGCACACACTGAGGAGCAGCATTTTGGGGGACTGTCTGTGCCATGGTGGGCATCCCCTGTGCCATGGTGGGCATCACCTGTGCCATGGTGGGCATCCCCTGTGCCATGGTGGCTCAGGGTGCCCAGAGAAGCTGTGGCCACCCCATCCCTGGAGCTGTCCAAGGCCGTGTTGGATGGGGCTTGGAGCAGCCTGGAAGGTCCCACGGCAGGGGTTGGAACGAGATGATCCTGAAGGTCCCTTCTAACCCAAACCATTCCCTGACCCGGGGT